TTCAGCAGGAGGTTGAGAGGTACTCCTCCTACTAAGATCTGAACCGCTTCTGTGAGACGCACTTCGTTATGACTTAATGACATAGTTGTACATTGAATTTTCGCCAACCTGCGTTTCTACCAGTGTGAGAGGTTCTGAGACTCTGCAGGAGAGGCATACATCAGAATACCCAGTTTCACTCATGTAAATGGTGGTTGTAGCTGGTATTTGAGGCCCCAAAATGCACCCTATAGTTGAAGACGTATTGATAATATTAATATTCAATATATTATAATATATCCCTGAAGATGTGATATTAACTTTGAAACATTAAAACTTAAGATATGTAAATGAGTTTTTAATAACTCAATGAATGATTGCACTTCTTATTTCTATTTTATTTGAGTTTAGGAACAATCTTGGTTAAAAGCTCCATTAATTTCAAAACAAGTATGTACAAAAGTTAAATTTTGATTTGAAATAGAAGATTTCAAAAAGTACAAGAAGGCGGGCAATCACAACGAGAACAATTGTGTGCCAAAGAGCATAATATCTAATAATACGAAGAGCACGGAGAGAGGGGAGGCTTTGGGGCTGAAGCTCCCCTCAACCCAAAATGGTAAAATATAACTATGTTTTATGGAAAAAAAATTATCTCTAAAAGTATTATTTTTCATGTAATTACATCTAAAAGGATTTTAGGAATCACTTAAACACCATTTTAAAACGTCATTTTTATAAAACAAAAAAGCTTTCGGGCTGAAGCCCCCCCCTCCCCAAAATTAAATCCTGGATCCGCTAGTGCTAAGAGTGCTGCTTTAGCTCGTTAAAAATTTCATATTGTAATAATATCACATCACGTTTTATCAAAACCCATATACACAGTTATACTTCTTGATTATTTCATCAAGACTTTAATTAACTTAACCACATAAAACCGGGCTTGACTCGCGCCTTTTCTTAGATGGCAGTGAGCGTATCTACGAATGTTTCTGTTGTTTCAGTTCATGAAAGATTGGAAAAGTGATAGTTTTTAAAGTATTTTATGTGATTAATAGCTTGCATACTTTTTAACAATATAAAATTACCATGTCTAAACGTAAACAATTGGATATTTCTTGTGTTTTTTTATCAAGAAAAGTTTAACAGAAATAAACATAAAAGCAATTCTGTGGTGCAAGCGAAACGGATGGAGGTAATATGGTTTACTCAACTCTTCCGTCTTCGGATTCAGAACCTGTCCAGGCAAGTACTTCATTTAATTTTAGCAAAGTACGAGATACGCTTAGAAAAGTACGATATAGGTGATTTTGTTTTGTAAACGAGTATTCCTGAATGAATTGTACAATGTTTTGACAAAATCGTGGACCTCAAATAACAGTTATATTTTTCCAACTTATTTCGAATCTGGACAAAATCGTAAATTTAATTTGAAGTGGCTAAGTGACAATCCATGGTTTTCATATAGCAAAAAAAAAAAATGACCGTGCTTATTGCCCAGTTAGTGTTTTTTTGGACCCAAAGAGATTAAAAGAGATTAAAAAAGGAAAACCCGGTTAGTTACTATCCATTTGAAATAAAAACAAACATGCTCTTGAAATCTTGAGAGATAATAGTAAAAATAACTATTATAAATTTTCTGTTTTAAAAAGCATCAAATTTATGAATATATACGGAAAGCCTCAGAATGAAATTGACATTTTATTGGAATTGGCAGCAAGTTGAAGAATATTTCAAAATAGGAAATCTTTGGTTCCTATTCCAAAAACCATTTTGCTATCTGGAGCAGAAAATATTGCTGTTCCTGACTACAGTGACAATGGAGAATACTGAGCAACAGTAATTTAGGTTTGATTGTATAATAAGACCGTAATTTTATTTTATTTGTTCAGTACATACATTATTGTAATAGAAATGTTCAATAGTGATTAGTTTGTTTAATTTCTATTTTTAAATTATTCCTGAAAGCAATTTATTTATATTTTTTTAGTGTTTAAGGACAACTGAAACAATATTTTGTATAGTTTCTTAATTTTTTTCCTCCAAAAATTAAATTCTGGATCCTAGATGCTAGTGTAACATCTGTTATGTATGCCTCTTTATCATCTTTCAAATACCTCCTTACTTCCCAAACAGAAGATCTATCTTCGTAAAATTTCATTTTATGAATTGAATTTCATTAGATGTGAATAGCAGTGCATACTGGTGTTGACATCTAGTGTATTAATTTTGGGTGTATATATGTACATGTATGCATATGTGTATATATATATTTTCTTTTTCCCCATTACAACTATAATTAGGCTAACAGAAATTTTCTTTTTTTTTTTTTAATTGTTTACTTATTATTATTTAACTTACTGTAAATATGCTATAATTTTTATTTGTTAGTTTATATTAGGTTAGCCTACTGTTTATGTTTTAACATCAGAAATCAATTCTTTTTCTTCACTTACTTTTGCTCTTTTGTCTTTCCAGGTTTTGCTTTTTCTTTTTATGTATATATGTTTTGTTTTTTTCTTCCCACTACAATTACAATTATTCTTGAGATGTTGCTATTTTTTAAAATACTGTATATAATAGTACACTTTTGTTTGCCAAAGTTAGTCTATTGGTTGTTTTCAACATCAAAAATCAATGCTCCTTTTCTCATACTTCTGTTATTTTTTTTTCTTTTCTCCTAATTGTGTTTTTTCTTTCTATGTAATTTGTGTGTGTGTGTGTGTGTATATATATATATATATCTTTTTTTTTATTCTCACATTACAACTACAAATAATTTTGAAAAGATTTTATTTCTATTTTTTTTTTAGTTGTTTACATATTATTAGTCGAATTACTTTGTATATATTGTTAGAAATTTTATTAAGTTATGCTTTGACCAGCTACAGTTAGTAAAAAAAAGTCTGGGTACATATTTCCAAATGGAATTTTAATGTTTCTTCGTCCAATGAAAATATTCGTTAAGAATCTATTTAGAATAAGTATTTAAAGCAGTTTCCACTAATACAAATTTGACTTAGGACCTAGTTTCGATACTGTAGTAAATAATCAACAAAATGTGTTAAAAAAAGTCTGTGTACACTATTTATAAACAGAAAAGCCTAAACAAAATGTGGTAATCCCTTAACTGAAGGTCTTATGATCTATGAGTTATTCAGTATTTGATTATTTACTGAACTACAAAGAAGTGACTTTAATAGTATTTGTTCTCATTATGGAGGTATCTTGTTGCAATATGAAAATTGGTTATTAATTTAAGAAAAGAAGGAAAGTCACTGAGAGAAATTGGCAAAATAATTTCCAAACATTAATCCGTGATTAAGAAAATCATCAAAAGGTTTGAAGTCGACCAAGAGCTGGATGACCAGAAAAAAATTCAAAAGGATCAACAAGTGAGAAATTATGAATTTATTCATGAAGCTTAAAAAACGAGTACTGCTTCCATTGCAGGTATACTTGAAAATGATTACGGCATTAAATTTACACCACAAACAGTGCACAACGTTATACAAAAATGCTGAGTATAACTCAATCTGCCAGCAAAAATCCTTTTATAAGTAAGGTGAATAAATGTAAACGTTTAACGTTTGCAAAATGAGCCTAGTAATTTCTGGGAACGAGTTTTGTTCAGCGGCAAATATACATTTACCTTATTTTCATCTAATGAAAAAGTTTGGATGTTATGAAAACCCAATCAAGCCTTAGCAGCTAAAACTTGTGTCCCACGGTCAAGCATGGAGGTGGAATCATGGTTTGGGGCTGTATAAGTGCTTCTGGCATAGGAAAACATAAAATTATTGAAGGTATAGTAAACCAATATATGTACGTAGACATATTAAAAGAAAATTAAAAAAAAAGTATAATGAATTTTGGTATTGGGTCATTTTTATTTCAACAAGACAACTGCCAGAAGCATCAAAAAAAGAGTCGAAGAATGGCTACTCCATAATGCCCTAAGACACTTAAAAACTCCATACCAGTCATCGAACCTGAACCCAATCTAACATCTATGGGATAAACTAAAACAAAGACTGAAAAAAATGAAGATTTAAAACAAATCACAATTTAAGGAATCGTTAATGTATGAATGGAAACTAATTGAGTTTGAAGTCACTAAAAAATTGGTTTCTTTGATGAATAACCGTCTGTGAGAGGTGATAAAAAGTAAGGGAGGTCCTTCAGACCATTGATTTCTTTAATTTAATTAACAATATTGTATTATAAAAATAATATAAAAAAAATCAAGTGCACTCAAACTTTTTTGAGTTATAAAAATTAAATATTTGTGCGTTTCAGATGTAAAATTTCATATTTGTGTTGCAAACCTCGTTATTCATGTTCTTCAGAATTAAAATTTTGTAAAATAGGAAATAAAGTGTTTATTATTGTACGGCTTCATTGTTTAATGTAGTAAATCATTTATTTAAGGCAGTGGTGTACCCAGACTTTTTTTTACTAACTGTATGTATTTTTTTATATTTTGTTCATCATTGCTATTCTGAGGGGACTGTGTCCCAGAATAAAATTTCTTTTTCTATTTTATTTTTTTCTAATAAAATAAATTAGTTGATTTGTTAATCTGCAGCTCAAATCATGATTTTACATTAAATTGTGGAGTAACCATAAATAAATTTATTTTTGTTTCACAACAATACTTTTAGTGTTAATAAAAAGAAAGTACTTTCTTGTTCAAAAACAGTATACTCGCTTTGCGGAATGGGTTGAATTTGGTTAGATCAATTAAATTGCATTATTGGTAAAAAAACAGTAAATCCTTACCAAGTGCTAAAGTCAAAATCCTTTGTGGCTTTTCTTTTACTTAATTCTTTAAAACTGAATGTTGTGATTTGTTTAAGAGTTACAGTAAAAAAAAAAAATCTATATGCAGATTTAGCATGTATGAAAGTTCATTATGATAGGGTTGAACTGTATCTAAATGATATTCCATGATCCATCATGGAAGTAGTTTTCATCAATGAATCATAAGAAAAGAAAACACAGGATAAATAAAAAAAAATAAATAAAAAAATCAAAATAAAATATAATCCATATTTTAACAAATTAGCTAAGATCTTAACAGTTCAAATGTCAGTAGAAAATTTATATTTTATCTTCAAAGTGAAGTTTTTTTTTGTTTCTTTTTCTACTGACAACTTTAATGTGTAGTGAGGTATTGTAGTCCGGTTATGTCGTCGGTTTCGGTGAGATCCAAAATCAGCCTCGACATCAGCTGGATAGTTCCTCTGCTCTCTGCCCTAATTTATCGTTGCCATTTAAAGTAATGTCAGAACCTAGCCTTAATGCTGAAAAAAGAAAAATCAAATGTCAGATATTAAAAAAATAAAATAAAAAAGCAAAATAATGTGAAAAATAATTCAAATGCAGAACTAGAAATCAGACTCAGGTTAATTAACAATCATGTTATTTAAATGAATGTTGGTGGAGCGAGAATGAACATTGGGGTTTTAAACATTTTATTTGGACATTGAGACCCTGTTTTTAATCTGGAAATTCACTGTTTTTGGGATAACCCACGCTACATTGAGGTCTGTCGTACGAGTATAACCTAATTTTTCCTCTTTTAGTAATTAATCTTGCCAGTATTTTTCACATCACAATATATAGTTTAAGAACATATTACTTATTGAGTTTGAATCGAATCAAAAATTTAAATGTTAAATTTATGTTTTTATTATTTAGAAGCTGAGCTATAATAGTAAAGGCATATTAATTGAACCTATTATTATTTTGTTAGTAAAATTATTTTATATACTGATAAAATCAATTAATACAATAATTAACTTTATAATTCCTATTAATATTTCAGTCTTTCCAGATACGATTAGAGATGATTATTTTAAATTAATTAATGTTAGTATTGAAAATTTATGTTTGGAATTATTATTGTTGATCGGTAAAATAATGCTTTATGACCCTTTATGAATAATGAACAGAGTTTAGACTACGTTTTTCCTCCCTTTTAATATTTGGAATATTGGAAAAATATTTCCAACCGATGGATCAAACTATTTTAAGAGATATTTTAAAACTTAAATTTACAAATCTTATTTTATTACATTATTTAAAAACTACAAGAATAGTCATCGAACCATACACATAGAATCTAGCGTACTAACTTTTTACAATGCCTATTAAGATTATTTCTCTGATAAATAACCTACAGAATTAGAATGTTTGAAAAACTAAAAAAATATATAATATAATAATGAAAAAAATAGTGTGATATTAAGTACAAAGAATATAGTTTAAAGTAATCGATGAGAAAATATAACAAATACTATTGATTTTAATCGACAAAAATCTTAGACATACGTACAATAAATTATAAGATCAATTTCTTCACGATACAAATAGAATATCTAATACAATTTACATCATACATATAAATTTCTAAATAAGCACAACAAAAATATAAATAAGAAAACATTTCACATTAACACTGAATATTATAATGAATTTTTTTTAATAAACTTAAATAATCTAAAATTTATTAAAGGGCCTTCACTTTTAATTGCTTCATCTTTGGTGCCTTTTTCTTCATTTGTCTTTTCATCTCCTTCTCTTCCCATTTCCTCTGTTTCTCTGGATCATCCTCCTAAAAACAAATTAGAATTTCAAATCGTATATCAAGATTGTTCATTGATAGACATTATGAAAATTACTAATAATAATAATAAATAAATAAAATATAAAATACCTGAAGTATTCTTTCTTTCTCTTGCCTTCTCTTTTGTTCCCTCCTGGCCGCTGCTGCCTCCGCACGAGCCGCGTGAGTAGTTTTCAAAAAGGCCTCCTCAACTTTCAGTCTATTTTTATCAGCCTTATTTTTTCCCTAACAAAAAAAAAACAAAATCATTGATCCATGTTTTTAATTTAACATCAAATACAAGAGAAATCCAATCATCAACTTATGATGAAGTTTGTATCAAAACCTCTTTTAATCTCACAACCTTTTATTTTACCCTTAATACATTCAAATGATACGTACATTATAAAATAATATATAAAAAAACTTTACCACTACAACCCATGAAGGGTCTTGGGTTCAGTACTATTTCTTAGTCAACAGTTGTGATTTGACTGAGATCACTCCCAACCGCCTTAATTAATTTTTAAATTAAGGGCACCTACCTTACAGAGGCTTGATTTGTCCCAGAAGGGTCTTCTGATCTCAGGTTCACCCCACGGCTGATGAAATTGAATAAATAATTTTTCCGCCATGAGCCGGGATTCGGACCATGAGTATTGGAAGATCAGTTCCCCGCCACTGAGCTCCCTTATATCAAATAATATATACATTCAAAAATTATTATTTAAAATTTTGGCTAGAAGAGCCATTATACACTTTTTTTTTTTCATCTTTAAAATTTAAACACAAAATTTTGTATGAAAGAGGAAAAAAATTTTTTTTTTGAAAATGGCTCTTTAAGCCAAAACATCAAATAATAACTTTTGAATGTATTTTTTTTTTTTTTCCTACGCCTAAGTAAAGCCTGCTTCATTAGCCATGCGTGCTCTTGCAGTCCAATACAGTTTTGCTCTCCGAGCATAAGGGCCGTCCATTTCATTAAAGCAACATCTTATGTCCTGTAATGCAGGGCATGTATCAAGATGTTCTCCTGTCATCATGTCTAAGGAACACAGAGGGCATGTCGGGCTATCTTTGATACCGATGCGGTGGAGGTGCTTCTGAAGGAAATCGTGGCCTGTGAGTATTCTAAACTCTCTAGGGATCCTGCCACTTTCTTCCAGCAATCCACTCCATCGCTTCCCTTCAATTGTTTGTACATATTTCTCTTTCAGTGAACTTTGGAGGGTCTGTTTTATGATTCTTTTTGTTGAATCCATGGCCAGAGGAATATCGGGTTGGGTCATTCCAGAACCTATTCTGGCCAATTTGTCAGCTTCATCATTTCCGTGGAGCCCGCAATGGCCTGGTATCCACTGGAAAGCGACTTCTGTCCCATTTTTTTTTAATCGGTTCAAATATTGATGGCATTTAGGAACATTTGGATTTATATTATATCAATTTTGGAGAGACAATGTATATAAAAATGTTTTAAGTTTAAAATAAAAGGTTGTGAGATTAAAAGGGGTTTTGATACAAACTTATCTATATTTAAGATTCGAGGGATGCCAAAATATTTAAATTAAGTAAGATCTATTTTTTTTTTCTTCAGTTACCCCCAACTTTACCATTTCTGACAAATGGAAGATGGATGGAGGGAGGAGGGTTCGTTTTAGAAGTACCACCACACAAAATAAATTTCAAACAGATCGGATTCGTACTGACACTGCTAAACTCGAGAATGTTAAAATGGTCAATTCTATACACTCAGCCAACATGGCCTCCACTTTTTCTGTCTTAGCTATAGTTCAACTGTGATTAGATAGCATCCCAAGAGCGAACTCCTGCAGCCCTAAATTGAAACTAACATTCTGTTTTTTTTCCCAAACCCACTGACCATTACAAATTATTTACTAATATATGCATGAATTAGAAAATCATGATATCACTTTTCAATATATGTGTATATTTGTGAATACATTTTAATAATATCTGGTGTGTCCACTCACACGACTTTCCTACCTATTTTAGAAAAAACTTTATATCTTTACATATGTTCATGAAGAAACAAAAAAGAATTGAACTAGACACATTTTCCTGAAAATTGATCAAACATAAGATTTGAGTACGATTTATTTGATAAACTAAAGTAATATAAACCTTAAGGTAGATCAGTGTAAACATTTTAATAAAAAGTAGAGGAAATAGAGAAGATTGTGTGATGCGGGCAACAGATTTTCTTAATTTCACTTAGTCATCTCTCTCATTCACCCATTTCTGACAGCAGGATATGAAACCGTAATCTTACATTGGAAATTGAATAGCTGTACCTTCGTTAATAGTTGTCCAAAATGAACAATTTTTATACGGCTTTGTAGGGAATTTCATTACCTTTCAAACGACAGGCTCAAAGGCAATTTTTTGGGGAGATTTAGTCTATATATGAAAATTGAAAGAATAATAAGAATATTATAGGAAAGTTTCATCAAAATCGTTAGAGCCGTTATTGCGCTACAGTCTATAAAAAAACAGGATTTTCATTTTTTGCGTGCGCAAGCTATTGCGCATGGAGCACCGAATTTCTGTCACAGGCATCAGTAGTCAAAACCCTAGGAAATAAAAAAAGAAGCAACAAAATCGGTTCAGTAGTTCCCGAGAAAATCTTGGCACAGACAGACAGACAGGCCAATGGCTAAAAATGTGTTTTTCAGACTCAGGGGGCTCTGAAACGTATAGATCCTTCGAAAACCGCATATAGGAAATTTGACCCGATTGCAATACTTTCCATACCTAGTATAGGTGGGAAAGTAATAGGAGATTCAGGGGAGGAAAAAAACTTAGTCCCACGTGAGTTCACCCTCAAGCTGCAAGCTTATGGTAGTGAAACCATAGTTAAGTAACCTTAAGTTTTTATTCAGTGAAAAATATTATAAATTGGTTTCAGTAAAATGCTTACCTCTTTGCTAAGCCTGTATCTTTTAATCTTGTCAATGCAATAAAAGACCATGCTCATGAGCGGTTTCAGGGCATCCATTGCTTCCTCAGCCGACCTCCCTTTGGTTGGGATGTTGAAACCAAACATCAGAACTTTCTTGGTAGAAGGTAATTTGGTAAGGTTAGTTTCCCTTGAAAAAATAAATAAATTTATTTTGACAATAAAACAATACATCTATTTCTTAACTCCTTTCAAAATAATCACAAATTAGTTATATTTAACAAATATTATAAAAATATTTCATGAGTTACACTTTATCACACCTAAGCAAGTCAGACAGATCCTATATGAAGGGGAAGGGGGAAATGGGCAGGTTCGCTAACAAGAAACATCTAAGTATTTTGAGTTCTCTATGACAGGAGGGTAGGGTAGCTCAGTGTCCATAGTTTCTATAAAGTATGTACTCTAAGTAAAAATAATTAATTAAGGAAAAAATCTGGCAGTTGAGTATGATCTTGACCAAATCACCTCCTTGCAAAATCATGGGTCAAGAAACACGGCTTCCTTATTAAGTAATGAATACAAGACTTATAGAGGTCCAAGTTTTGATTTTTGTTAACTTTTTCTTGTAGAAGGGAATAAATTGAATTTATTTTATTTTTTAAATTTTGATACGTCGTAAACCAATGACTTCCTGTCCTACAGTTTCCTTTAACAATACTCCACTAATCCCTGTTGAGAAAATCCGATACCTGGACAAACGACTAACTTGGAATCCTCATACTAGACTGACACGACAAGAAACCGCTCGATGTTTCTGATTCCTTCAGCACTTACTGGACAAACGCTCTAAACTTCCAATTAATTACAAAAGATTCATATACTTGACTATAATAAGGCCAGTTTGTACTTATGGAGTTGAGCTATGGAGCTCCACTAAACCATCAAATTCTTCTTGTATCCAATCCTTACAATCCAAAATCCTTCGTAAAATCCTCAATGTTCCCTACTTTGTTACAAATAAAACCATCCATAATGACCTTAATGTTTCTTTTGTTTCAGATCTGGCCCAATCCAGATACCTTTCCTTCCTTAATAAACTTCAGAATCATCCTAACCCTCTCGTTTCTAACCTTGCTTCCTCTTCAATTCCTGATAACCCTCCGAGGCGTCTGAAAAGAAGATGGCCCTGTGATGTCCTAATGTAGACATATCATTAGAGTGCTACCATTGGGTAGTTACTCAGCAAGTATTTTCATGTCATTATATCCATTATGTTCAAATTTACTGGATGTATTTATTTAATACAGTTGTAAATAACATTAAGAAACAATAAAAAAAAATTGTTTGATACCAATTAAAAAACACAGCAAATTATTACACAATGGTTAATTATTTCCAAACAATTTAACATTACTTTTCATGTAACATTAAGGAAAATAAAATTTGATTCCTAATATTGGCTATAAATTTTTTTTTTTTCATCATTGATAATTTGCTAACAAAAATAGACAACATTGCTTCAGTTGATCTAAAACTTTCTTTGTACCCAATTGTCCGATTTCAACAAAATTTTTTAGGAAATTTTGTATGCTATTAAAAAACTATGTCAAATATCAACAAAAAGTGTATACTTCTTGAATTATTCGGAAATCTAATTTTATCAGCCCTCGTAAATTTTTGTCCAGCTTTTTTTCTTTGAAGCACATTATATAAATAAATTTAAAGAGTATTGAGGAGAAGAATTAGACGTTACAGTCAATAATACAGGTTTCTCGGAAGCCTTCTTAAAAGGAAAGGATGGATATTAATGTCGAGATAACGAATCATCCTCGGTTGACCTTTGATCTTGATTACTAATTTGAAAAAAAAATCGGTTTAGTAGTCTCAGAGAAAAACCATGGACAGACAATTTTTTTTTCATTGGATTTTTGAATTCTACGTATAGTGAAAATTAAAACCTCAAATTTTGATGGGAGTTAAATTTTTGGATGGTTTATTGAAAATAATAAACCAAAATCTAAACATTATTCAAGCAACCTATTTTTGAGGTAGTTTAATGACTAATAAATCAATGTTAATTGTTTATTCAAAATAAAACGTTAAAAATAAAATCATCTAAATTATGCATATTTATTCCTTTTTCTTAAAAATTCAAATGACAACTACAGTAGAAATTTAAATATTGTTCTTTTAAATGTTCAGAACATTAGTTTTTTAATACAAATTAAAATATCAAGCCTATCAGACTTTGTCTTTTGTTTGACGGTGAGATAGCAGCGATCCTTGTAGCTCTAAGAACACTATCAGGAAGGCAAGTTCAGAACGCTGTTCTCTTTGTCGACTCGCAAGCAGCAATCCTCGCCATTACTGACGTGAATAAATGTATGTCGAGTGATATCTTGGAGTGCAAATCCCTTCTCTACGATCTAACACTCCGAGGCACCAATGAGGTCCTACAGTGGATTCCGAGCCATTGCGGTATTCCAGGAAATGAGGAAGCGGGTAGTCTCGCCAGGAGTGGAGCAGAATTGCCACAAACAGTCCATCCAAAATCCTACGATTCAATTCGGCGAATGGTGAGGATGGTAGTGAAGGAGGAAATAAAAAATATGCACAAAGACAAGGTGAAAGGGAGACGTTATGGATGTCTGGTGGAAAACCCGATCCCAGCTGACTTACCAAGAAGAGATGCAGTAGCCTGCTTCTGCCTGGCCACTGGTCACGACTATCTACAAAGTCATCTCCACAAGATAGGCGTGGCTGAGGATCCTAGGTCTAAATTATGTGAACAAGCGGAAATGGATGCAGACCACCTAAACGAAATGTCCTGCTTTGACGGATATTAAGAATCAAACATATGTAAATGATTATATAAAAAAATCAAACTTATATTGGGCAGCAAGATGTCGGATGGTCAAATGACCAATGATTATGGCATAGGGAAAAAAAAAAAAACTTTGTCTTTTGTTGCTTATTTGAGAACTAATAGTCCATAAAAATATTGACAAATCTCAGCAGAACTTACAAATAAATTAAATTAATACTATTTATTTGTTATAAATTAATTACAGGAGATATAAACATACTCAGTCTGTTTGGGTCCGGAGAACTGGTCTGAGAAATGGATAAAATCGATGAGATCAGGGTGTCTGTTAAATAGCGCAGTAATTTTAGAGTCCAAGATTGCCGAGGTGACCTCTCCCATTTCAGATATAATCTGGAACTGTGAGGGTAATCCCATTTTTTCTCCACCTCGCCGTTCAACACAATATACGCTCTGTAAAGAATGAATGAGATTCTTTAACTTTTTAATACATGCCAATTTTTCAGTTATGCTTGATTTTTATATTTAAATCAAAAACTTAAAAAAAAAATGTTATTAATTTTTATTTTAATATTTTAGATTTAATTGGTTTTATCTCAATGACCTATAGGTAAAAATGTCTAAAATAAAAATAAAAAAAAGAATTATTTAATAAAATAATTGTTATTGGAACTAATTTTTTTGTTTGTTTGTTTAATATTCATAGACTATCATTATTTATAAATCATTAATCATAATTAAGATCCATTAAGTTCTTCAACTTAAGACAATTCACGTTCAGGTTAAAGAAACAGAAATATCAAGCTTTAAAAAAAATAAAAGATTACCAAATCAGCCATGTCTTTCGAAAGTTTGGCAGCAGTCTTCTTAGAAGCAACACAGAACACAAACGTGTCCATATCGTCCTTGTTCATATCAACTTTTATGTGGATCTGATCCTGAGATGGCTTCATCATTTGTGCAATGATAGCGACTAAATCTTGTCTCTGAAAAAAAAAAAAAAAAAATTATGAGAAAAATTAGGATGGTAAAACATATGTACCAGTGTCTGTTTGAAGAAGCATTTCCTACAAGAACTTCAAATGTAGAACCTCAACTTTCTGAGACAATTATAAAGATTCATCTTTGAAAATAATAAAGCCAAAGGGCAAAAAATTGTAAAATTTGTGGTAGAATTGTGATTATGAAGGAAGAATAAAGATATCATAGAAAAAAAAATTAGAATTGAAAAAGCTAAAAAAACTCATAAAATAATAGAAAGCTATAATTCTATAATTTGAAATAATAATAAACAGAAAATTTATTTTAAAAAATTAACAATTTGTTTCTCTATAATAATAATAATAATAAAAGGCTTAGCGAACCCAAAGGTTGGATGCAGACACCACCAATCGTTCCCTCCATCAGTCGCCCTCTAAATCCAGTCCCTTCATATCGGTCTAAACGTAATCTTCCCACCTTCACTTTGTTCTACCCGTTGGACGTTTGCTAGTTCGGCACAGCAAACCATAATCTTTTAGGAAATCCTTTGATACTAAGTCCAAAAATTTTTCAAGCCCATTTTATTGGCCGCAATGTTACCATCTCAAATTTATTAATCCAATACAATTCACACAATTCGGCATTATCAAACCGTCTGAACTCTTTGGTTAACTCGTCCTTCTTCGGTACGAATATTCTATTTAATATTTAATAGTTGACCGTTACATTATAAAGGAAGAAGATGGTCTGCGGTGGCGGTCATAAATAGGCTAAATAGTGGCAAAACTATTTTATTAAAAGCCAACGTTTCGACCCTACTTTGCAGGTCTTCTTCAGGGAGGTGTGTTCAGCTAGGAGTTTCACTTAGAACTCCATCAGTTCTAAGTGAAGAACCGTGTGCGGTAGGAAGGAAAATTTCTCTATACAGAGTCAATTTTCCTGATAATATTGAAACATTATCCTGCCGATGAATTTGATGAGTTCATGACTTGTAATAATGTTGTTACAGATTTCTTTAATAAATTCTTAAATGGCAAAAATGTTGACAGTTGTAGTTTAAAATGTATTTAAGACAAATGGTCACTTTTACAAAAGTTGTACCAAAACATCTATAATATATTTTTTAGCCATGCTGAAATGTAGTAGATTCCAATAAAACTATCTGAAAAATTCTAATTGTACAAGTAAAGGATTAATTTACTATTTGCTCGGTCAATATCGAATAAAATAAAACTAATTTTACTCCTCAAAGACAAACAATACTCACTTTTAAAAACTTAAGCTCAACCAACATCCCTTCACAGCAAGTTCTTCCACTGCACCATAAAGTGTAAAGATGCTCGGATTCTTTTATCAAACCTCTGTTTTCTATTTCCATTTTACCATCATCACCTGTAGTTCATAAATAGGTATATTAATTAATTAATTTATAGTTTGAACAGGTCGCAATTTGTTACCTAAAAGGATTAAATCAAAAAGAAAATACTCACCGACCAATGAGAAATTCTCTTCTAGTATTGATTTGTGAGTTGAATACCACACACTGGCCATTTTGCTATTTTTAGTTTTACCGCTGAAGAAGTTGATGAAATATACAAGCAGGCCAGCAATCATGAGCATTTCAAGATAAAAGCTGTCCCAATTGGTACGGAAATGGAGAGGTACCTGAATAAAACAATTAATGCTATATGAGAAGGAGTTAGTCGAGGAACCTTCTAGGCAAAAATTAAAATTATTTATATATTTTAATTTTTTTTATTTATTTGACCGCACCCTCGACTAACTCCTTCTCATATCATATCAACGGTCAACCATCTCTACATCAATTAATGCTATAGTTTATTATCCTACAACAGTTACACACAAATACAGGCATATATGCACACATTAAAAAATTTAAATATTTGGATGGAATTTAATTTACGTAATTTTATATATTTCATTAATCTTCATAAACAACTTTTGTGATAGAAGTGTATAAAACCTCAAATCAGCTGTAGTTTTGAAGAAAAAAAAAACTATACAGATGTCGATGTAAAGTCAAAGGATAATCCTGGGATGATCTGAGACTATGGGACTGGATATAAAATAAACCACCCAAGGAAAAAGACGGAGACACATTTTTATTTAAATTCCATTTTTGGTTTTAAAAAAACTTAAAACTTTGAAACAAATTTTAGAAGTAGCATGATTATTAAAAAAATAATAATAAAGAGAAACAAAATGTTCTCCAAGGCACACCATGTGACATATTACAGTTGTAACGAACGTTGTGACATATTACAGAATTTCACGGGGAGTTCTTTCTAAAATAAATAAAGTCGATAAAAACATTTTGCTAGGCTTCGATACTGGAACGGTGGTAGGTCTGTAGATCGCTAAGGGACAAATTGGATCTTGAAGATTTTGATGCGTACAGGAAAAACCCAGATAGTTCCTCCAGAACTATCGTATCCTGCGTTTTTAAGCCCAAAAACATACTATTTTCGAGATAACGCAAGGCATAGGGTTCGCATCCACACAACCTTACATTAATTGTAGTACTGTCATTGAAAACATGTCTCATTTCGTCGACTTGAGGTCTCTATGATCGAGAGAGGAGGAGTTTATATTATTTATCGATGGTGTTTTTGATCGGCAAGCCATATCATCATTAATTCTTCACCAAATGTCAAGATTGAGCCACCAATTTCGAAGGCTTCCTTCTCCTTCAGGCGGCCAAAATAGTCCAATCATCTCGAAAACTCAGGCAAACAAGTTATGAAAGAAAACAAACTTTATTTGCGAATAAATAAAGAATTACACACTTTTCTCTTGGTTATTCCCATGATTATATGAAAGATTAATAAATTCCCTACGAAAGGAAAAAAAAATCATCGAAATCGGACATTTTTTAGGAAAGATACAGCTTACTGAAATTTGTAAACATGTTGGTTCCAAACGAAAATGAAGATTTAAATTAATTTTTGTTTTCTTTATCGATTATATTTATCGATATTAAGCAAACAATAAAGTAACATTTGATTTCTTTTATCTTTTGATACGTTGATTTATTTTATTTTCTTATTAATTTGGCATTTGATAACAATATGCTGTGCGAATTTTTCGCACGGGCCTACTAGTAATAAACAAATATAATAATTTAACGTTCATACTCCAATGGATAATGGGAATATAATAAAACTTCTACAAGAAAATTGATACACCAAGAGGAGACTTGACAGGCCAAGACTACGGTGGGCTGAAGAAATGGCAGTGGATGTGTGATCGATATCCATCTTGAAAGTAAGGAACTGGAAAGCAGCAGCAGTGCACTAAGAAGACTGACGGTTGATGTACAGGAGGCCCTGACTCATCATAAGTTGTGCCAAAAGGAATGATGCATGAACGATAATAAAAAAAAAAATATAGAGAATTAAAGATAATGAAACAAAAGTCTGTTTTAAATTAAATTGAGAAATACCTTTATCAGTTATTATAATATAAAACAAAACATACTAACTGTAATTTTAAAACTTTATAATTTAGTTTTTGTGTGGTTTTATAACAAAATTGGGTGAGGTAATATAAAAAGAATAATATAATATAAACATTTTAATCATATCATTTTACCTTGGCAATAGTGATTTTTGGTGCGTCTTTTTCATCTACTTTCCCTCCAACCGTAACTTTGTCACTATCGAATCCTTCAAATTCTTCCTCATCTTGAAAGTGTTCAAATTCGTTATCTTCATCCTGTACAGTTGTTTCAGATAAATAGAAGTTGGAATTTTCCTTTTCATTAGACATAAGAAATATTCAAATGAACTGGAATTTGATCACAATGTAATCAAATCATAAATAATTCAATAATACTTTCATAATTATTCATTTTATTACACTCTATATGAACTATTTCAAGCAAATAGTTTGTTAAGTAAAATTTTTATTGTCGTAGAAGACCACACCCCCAAGCAAACAAAATGTCATGTAACTCATTATGAATGTAAATGATAAGCGTCTAATCTTGTATAAATAATTCTTTCGTATTACACACCTTAATATAGGTCATTTCCAACATATTACGTTCCTAATATGAAAGTTAATTTTGTGAAAACTAAACTTTCTAAAGGAAAATAGAAAGTAAAACTATTATTGTAACAAATTATTATTTAACTAAAATAATTATCTAAACATTTACAAGAGGAGTGACTCAACAGAAATTAGAAATATACTTTAGTATGGAAGAGTATATTTCATGAAGGATATATGAAATTGAACTAATACCTCAACAATAGAGTCCATATCAGTTTCGTAAATATCTTCTCGAGCTTTATGTTGATCATTTACTGATTTTTCTGGGACTGGTTGTTCATTTGCAGGTTTAATAGTATCCTCTTCGAAATCTTCAAATTCAGCAAAATCATTGTCTTCTATTTCTTCAATTTGTATACTAGCCCAAGAATGTCTACTTAATGCGATTATGAAAATCAAAAATACTGCCGTGAATTTGAACATTTTTCAAATATCTGCCAAGTCCAAAGGAGAAATATTAATCAAAATAACTAAACATAAAACATAAAATTACAAATAAATATCTTCTCACCAATGGGACTCTTATAAAAAGGTGAATATGTGTGGCTTCGGATTTATTTAACTTTATTAAATTAACAAGGGTCGCTAGTTGGATATTATTACATGGTATAATTTAAAAACATCACCCTTCACACGGCCACATTTAAAACCCATGGACTACACTAAATTAGGTTATGCAAACTATTAATTAAGCATTGGCCATGTTTATTTGAATTATTTGATTTTTCTTGTAGTAAGGAAAATCTATGATTTTTAGAAACAGGGAGATATTTTTAAATAAATTTCATTAAAATTATTTAGCTTCTAATTCCCGAATTCGCTTAATCAAAATAAGTTTTGCGAGAATGAACAGCGCTCATGTCGGATCCGAGACGAACGAAAGTAGGAGGGAGGTTCTGTCCCGCAAACAAACAGTTCAGTCGATAAGTGGACGTCTTATCTTAAGGTTATAAATATTGGCTTCGCTGCGGCAATTATCTTTTCGTCTTCGATTCTATCTCTGTGTCCGCCTCTCACTATATCACATAATTTTTATTTCGTTATCGTCATTGTTTAATTTTTATCGTACCTTCGGAGATATAGTAAAACTCGTCTTTTATTGTGCTTATCGTTTAATACCGGCTTTTAAGATGAATGAAGAAGACCTACATTTGGCCAAGGCAATTGCGAGTATGGATATGGAATCGTCTCCTAAAACTCCGAAGAAAACGCTTGTCAGTAAAGTTCAAGAGAAAATACAAGGATTCAGGTGAGTACACCATTAATTTGACCATCGTAAAATCGAACTTTATTTGCCAAATAACATAAACTATTTGATTTCATCGTAGAAATTATGATATTTATTCTTTTCAGATATACTTGATGTAAATTATTAAGTATTACACCTGTAGAAGCCTGTTACCTGTGATTGTATGGGTTGTTTTATTTTTGGATCGTATTGGATTCCGGCCAAACCGTGTTTATAGTCTGTTCAAATCTTGTAATTAACTGTACCACCAGATCAATTCTACTTACATGAGTTCAATTTTATAATTTTACTTAATTTTGAAGTTCTGGCAAGTGCCGGTTCTTATCTTAATTGTCTAATTTATGTAGCAATAAACGTTGATTCTTACTGAAATATTTACTATTTTTATTTATTTTAAAGTAGAATAAATATATACATTAGAAATTGCTATAATTATTGGTATTTTCATTATAAACTTTAGTTGTTATATTATTAGACCATTTGAGGCTTGATTTTCGCACTCATACCAACCTCCTCTGGTAGCTCAGTTGGTAGAGCGGTGGACTGTAGTGGTTTATAATCGTAGACATCCATAGGTCGCTGGTTCAAATCCGGCCCGGAGGAAATTTTTTTTTTCTACTAGTAAATACATCTATTATTACATTATAATTATGTTGTTAATATATTTTTAATTTATGTCATTTATAATCGCACGGAGAAAAAAATAATTATTTTGGGTTCTATTATTCATAATTACGACAAAAATTAATATTTATTGATAATATCGAGAAGAAGAAAATACACTGTATATAATGAATGAAATAATTCTTATAGAATTAAATTATGATTTAAATTATTAAAATTGAAATGTTTTATAAATTAATTTTGCGAGGAGAAAAAAATATTTATAAAGAAAATATAGTAAATCAAGTATTAATAAAAGTGAAATAATTATTCATACATATAATAATATTATATAAAATATATATGATTGTTTTAAAATGTATACTATAACTTTAATTTAAAAAAAGAAGGGTCCTATAAAATATAAACCCTATTTTTTTATTAAAACAAAGGTTCTAATTTGAAAAAAAACATGTCATGTTTTTTGTTTGCAGTAAAATTATCATTTAATTAAGGAAAAATATATATGACAAATAAACTAAAACCCCCTCATATTGATCTCCATTAGAAAAAACGCTATTAGAAGTTAAAATAATACAATAATCCTAAATAAGAAAAAAAGAAATAGTAAAATCATTTATTTATTCTGAAATGTTTTGTCTTTATAATCTTGTTTTAACCTTTTTTTGTATATTATACTGCATATTACCATAATTTTTATGGGTTATTGCACTGTATATTATATGGATATTTCAATGGTTTTTGTTGCATATAAATTCGGGTCTTACCAATAATTAAGAAGTAAAGAGATGTTTTTTTTTTAAATATTTCTTCTTTAAATCAACAAAAATTGCATATTTAGCCAACAATCGAGTTAATAGAGAAGGCCATAATAGTCTATTTTTATCGGAATTGAGATAATTATCGATTCCTATGTAAAAAACAAAACAAAAAAAAACTGAATAAATCAGATAGTGCAATGTTGTTTTTTTCACTGACGAATCTAAATATTTAAAAAAAGTTGTGTGAAAATAAGTTTTTATTCCTAAACCAACTATTTTTTAAGGAATACAATCAAACTTTTATTTCTTAAGTATTCTTTAAAAGAAAAAAATCTTCCAAAGATATTGTAAGCAATTTATTCAGATGAAAATTAAAAATATATTTCTTTTTTATTCTACCATTATTGTATACAAAAAGTTTATTTGTTATAGAACAATTTTTATAATTTATTTTTTCACGAATCATACACCATTTTCTTTTACAAAACAAATCCCAATCAAAATTTTTTTATTTGTTCAAAAGCGAGCCTTGAAGCTAATTTTTCGCAAAAGGAACCCTGTTTTTTAAGTTTCAATGTTTTACTACTGGAATAATTAGTGATTTTTGGATAAATAAAGAATTTATTATTATTTTTTCTAATATTGTTTTTGAAATTACAATCAGAATAGAAAATATAGTTTTTCGCGTTTCCTGAAAAATTGTCAATAATTATGGTTCACTTTGGATACAGTTGATTTGAATGAAGAATTCAAAAATGTTAATTATCTATCATCTTAAGAAACTTGATACTTGAATTAAATTATAAATGGTTATTACGAACTTTAAAAAAGTGTTATGTGATATGTTGTTGTTGATAAAAATCGAATCCTTTAAAATAAAGCTGTAAAAAGTATTTTATCATCAAGAAAAAAAAAAATTATAAGTGAAAGCATGAGAACAGTATCAGATTTCTAATTTGTTGAAAGATATTTTTTCTTCTTTTGTTAAAATTTCCCAGAATCCTTTATTAAAACTTCACAAAAGGTCTTTATGATAATGTTTGCCATAATTTAATCATTGTTACTTACCTAAAGTGAACTCAGATCATAATGCGTATCAGACTTTCAAAACCAGTTTTAAACAATTATTTATACTCGTAACTCTTAATAATGATAGTTAATTATTTAAAATAAACCACATTAAAGATACTTTAGAGGAAGACGCATATGAACATATTAAAGACCACTTAATTATACAATGAAACACCCATTTTAATCAAAATAGTTAGAGCTGTTTTTGAGAAAATTGTGAAAATGTGTTTCACCGTTAATATAAAGTGACTCTTCCGGTTAGCCGATTTTAAGCAAAATGTTGCTGTCACATCTAAGACATGTACCTATCTTAAATACATAATATCAGTTTTGTACGACTTTTCATTTTTTAGCTAGACTGCTAACATACAGACCATTTTTCGGGACTTGGTTATTTGGACTCAGGATAACCCAAAACTTGTATTTCTGTTGAAAACTCAGATTCACAAATTTTCACAATCGCCATACTTACAAGTTGAATGACGAGGTGCGGAATGGAAATGACTATTTTTTATTTTAGTCCATATTACTGGAATTGCTTCGTCTTTAAATTTGAGTACATCTGAAAGGAAAACATTAAAACTAGGTGATCATCGATAAGTTGAAGAATCTCTTAATATGCGGATTTTGCAGCAGAGTTCTAGATGGTTTCCAATATTTTACTTTCACTTACCTATATATGTAAAATATAGTAAGGGAAGTATTGCAATCGTGAACATTTTTAAATCTGAGTTTTCAACGGAAATACGGGTTTTGAAGTTCCTTGAGTCCAAATAACTAAGTCCCGCAAAATGGCCTGTGTGTTAACAGTCTAGCTCAAAAACGAAAAGTCGTACGGAAGAGAAATTACATATTTAAGGTTTTTATATGCTATGGATGTTTCAGCAACTTTTAAATCAAAATCAGCTAACCGGAAGTGGGACTTAATATAATGGACTAAACAAATTTTTACGATTATCTCAGAAAACACTCTAACGATTTTGATTAAATTCATCATATCAGTGTAAAATTAAGCAGTTTTAAATAAAATATGGTTATTATTCTCATTGATGTTCTCTTACAGGGCTTAATTGACTAATCTTCAATATTAGCTTCCTCTAAAGTACCTTTAATTTTTTTTTATTTGATACAATTGACCATTTCACATTAATTTCTGTTATGAAAAATGTTTAAATATAAAATATGAAAGAAATTGATAATTAACTAAAGGAGAAATAAGAGATCTTAACGGAGAATAATTGTAATTGAGAAACCAAGGTAATTGTAATTGAGCGCACCCAAGCTCGCCCGAAAGATTAGTACACGCTTCTCTACGTATCATGAGATTAATATAATACGGACTCCGACAATATTATATAAATATATATATGCGACTTTCATAAATGCTATTGTTGGTATTATTTAATATTTAATTGTATATATTGCAGCGATATAAATATTAAAATTTGTATATATGAAGATACTTATTTAAATAAAAATACCCACAATGAAATATAGAAATATAGAGTGTATAAATTTTACTTTCGCTTCGCTTTGCCTGAAAATACTTATTTCTGCTAAGCAGAGGGTGGTAAGTGAAGGTTGTGTGATACGTGCACCGCACCAGATTTTTTAAAGAAGGGCGACAATGCAGATTTTAAGGCTAGTAAAGTTGGCTTCAAAGGTACGTATTAGGTTTTTTTGTTTCATTGAAAAATTTCTTTGCCCTCATTTATTTTTTATAGTGTTCCCCAAAATCGGTCTTGGTCTTGCAATTTGTAAGACCAAGACCAAAGCCGCCTAACTGTTGCAAGACCAAGACTAGGACTGGTAAAGAAAATCGATTTTTTAAATACAAATTAAGGCAAAATGGTTGCAAATTTTAGTTACTGTATGTTAATAATTGGTATAACCAATATACTTTTGCATTTAACTCCTCTAATTTTTCACCGAACTTTGTTAGGTTTCTCCTATCTAAAAAAATATAGTAATATCTCTATAGTAATAAGCTAGTAAGTAACTGCAAGACTGTTGCGAGACTCTTCCGCAAGATCCAAGACTCGTCTCGGTCTCGTATTTGGGCAACACTAATTTTTCATTATACATTAATGATCTAAGGAGGGCTACTAATTTTTTTTTTCTTCCTGTCATAGCCCTCTAGAAGGAAGAACGAAGAAGGAGAAGAGAACTAAGAGTTTAGTCTCAATACTTGTATTGATACAAAATATACATATATGTACGTCACCTTCGACTTCCACATTGCCCAACATTAAAATCACTAACGAACGATCTGTTAGCCACAAGGCCTCCTATCCCTTCCAAACGTTCCTTGCGTTGTTTACAAACTCCTCCAGGACATGTTGGTTCTTAGCGTGTTGCGAAACTTTGGGACCTTTTGGGTTTTCGACAAGTACCAAAGACGCAGAGGTCCTTCGGGTCGGTTCTTGCGGGTGAAGCAATCGACTTCTTGCGCAAGCGGGAGTGCCTCAGAGGCGAGCATGAGTCCATTGTCTCGCAGCGCCCTCTCATACAATGCATTTAAATTTAAATTATGGTAAACATGGCGGC